ACCAGAAACTATAAAAACAGTAGAAAAAAATCTTGGAAAATAACTATGTGACATGATTTTGGGCAATGATTTTCCTGTTGAATCCAAAAGCACAAGCAACAAAATCAAAATTAGAAAATGGTGGGGGGGGGGATTTAGCTCAGCTGCATAAGCACCTGCCTTGCAAGCAGGCAGTCGTGAGTTCGATCCCCAGTACCGATAAAAAGGAAAAAGACCAAAAAAAAAATTAGAAAATGGGATTAGGCCAGGGATTTAGCTCAGTGGCTCAAGTGCTTGCCTGCTAAGTACAAAGTCGTGAGTTCAATCCCCGGTACCAAAAAAAAAAAAAAAAAAAAAAAAACCAAAAAAACGCAAAACAAAACAAACAAAAAAAACCCCAAACCAAACAAGAAAAAAAAAATGGGATTATCACAACTTGAAAAGCTTCTTTCTGCATATCAAAGAAAATAATTCACAATGTAAAGAGACAATTTGTGAACTAGGAGAAAGTATTTGGGTACCATACATCTGATAAGGGAATAATATCCAAAATACATAAGAATCTCAACAATGTAACAGAAAGAAAAGTAAAAAACCAAATTAAAAAATGGGCAAGGGAACTACATAGACAATCCTAAAAGGAAAATACACAACAAGACAACAGATACATGAAGAAAATGTTCAATATGGCTAATAGAGAAACCACAATGACATTAATTCAATATTGTACTTAAACAGTGCATCAGATTTCTTGAAAAAATAATAAACATTAAAGTAACTATCCTTTTAAAAGTACATGAAGCTTAAAAGAAAGTAAAGAAGAACTAGAAGCACCATGATGATTGAGAATCACAAATTGGAACAGTAAACATGCTCTGAAGTTACAAGTTCACTGCTCTAAAAGTTGGCATCTTAACTGTTTGAAAAACTCAAAGAAAAAAGTCCTGGGTCCACAAAAGAACAGTATCTAGAAATAAATCTCTATACAAAAGCAGAACTAAGATTTACAATTTAGAAATAGGAAAAAAATATATCAACCTGATTTGAAAGGAAAATGATAAGAAACATGTCAGTCTTGGCCTAGACTTTAACAAAGAAAGAAAAAAATGCTACAGATACTTTATCTAAGAGGAGCCATGCAAACAGGAAACATCAATATAAGACTTCTTCCATAGAAAATGGAATTGTTAAATGGCACAATATAAATGCTTCAAGTACATGAAAATACAAAGTAAAAAGCAGAAATGATAAATTTAAAAGGATTTGGGGGAGGGGAAGAATATTAAAGTTTTAGGAATGAAACAACATGATCAATAAAAACCTTAAAAAGGGATATTACAAGCAGCCAGAAAAAATACCAATTACAAAAGGAACAATGAGACAGATGGCACACTTCTCAAAAGCATAGAAGCTAGAAGACAGTGGATAGCATCTCCCAAAGTGTGAGCAAAAGTAACTGTCAGTACAGAATTTTATACTCACATTATTAAGCAAGAATGGTAGTAAAGCAGATTATTTCACAACAATAAGAATAAAACCTCAGAACATTTACTAAAACAAAAAGCCTTCACTAATGTACTCTATCATAAATAAAATGATCCAAGAAGGAAGATATGATGGAACAGAAATAGTGTGTGAATAAAATAATCATGTGATTAAATTCACAAGAAAACATTTTAAAACAAAAGTACCACCCATTTTAGAAGTTTATAGAACTAAAATAACCAGATGACAGTACTTTAAATGAGAGAAATCAATAAAAGTTAAAGCACTCATACCTTTTCTTCCTGTTTTTTGAAACAGGTTTTCCCTATGTAGTCCAAGCTATCATTGAACTCACTTTGTAGTCTTCTTGGCCTCAAACTCATGATGATCCCCCTGCTTCAGCCTCCCAGGTGCTAAAAATACAAGTGCATGCCACTATGGCTGGCTTAAAATCCTTTATATTGTTCTGAGGGAGGGCAAACTGTGTTTAGTCTTTGTTAAATGAACTATATGTTAAGTTATACAAACAATAATGACAATGATTTACATAAAAAATAGAAATAATCACAAAATATTTACATTTATCAATAATGGCAGAGAAATTATTTCATTTACTTACAAATTGACAAAGACAACTTTGAAAAATAATATCATATGTATTACACAGTATGTGGCATTTTGTCTGGCTTCTTCCATTCAGCATGTTTTCAAAGTTCATTCATGTTGATGCATACATGTATCAAAGCTTTGTTTTTTTATTGCTTAATAATGTTCCACTGTTAGTCCACACCAAATTTTATTTATATATTCATCAGGTGATAGATATCTGGGTTGTTCTACCTTTTTGGTTATTTTGAATAATGAGTTACAGAGCATTTCTGTAATGATCTCTTGGTCACTGTCAGATTTCTTAATTTCTGCTGGTCTACTGTACATGAAATACCACCTCACTGTGATTTAATTTGCATTTGATTATTAATAAGGTTGATCACTTTTTCTTACGATTACATGCTATTTCTATTTTTTGAACTGCCTACAAATATATTTTATAGAATTTTCCAAAACATGAGGCTGGGGATTTAGCTCAGCGGCATAAGCACCTGCCTTGCAAGCAGGCAGTCGTGAGTTCGATCCCTGGTACCGATAAAAACGAAAAAGACAAAAAAAAAAAAAAAAAAGAATTTTCCAAAACAGTTATGTATCTTTTTCGTGTAGAAGCTCTTTATTTTCTGGATGCTAGTTTCATCACTACCTATATCCACTGCAGTACTTCATCCAATTTAAGGCTTGTCTTATTTTATAATGTTGTTTGATAAGAATTTCCATGCAGTCAAAAAAATTTTTTTTGTCTTTTTCATTTTTATCGGTACCGGGAATTGAACTCACGACCGCCTGCTTGCAAGGCAGGTGCTTATGCCGCTGAGCTAAATCCCCAGGCCCCTATGCAGTCAAATTTATCAATCTTTTAATGAACATTTTAAAAAGAACTAAATAGAACACTTAGAAACAATGTGGATCACTTCTAAATCTCTTATGAGTATCTCTTACTTGCCATTTTTATTATTTAAATTGCACCACTAGTTCTTATCTGTAGCTAATAATTCCAATGCATTTTTTGTTTTGTTTTGTTTTTTCTTTTTTCTTTTTTGCTATTATCCATCATTTATCTATGACTTGTTTCTTCAGGGTGAGCTCATCTTTTATTGATATTAATTTATACTTCTAAAGGTCTCTTACTTTTTTCAGCCAGGAGTTAGTGGATATCACTTTAGAACAGTGATGGCAAACCTTTTAGAGCCTGAATGCCAAAAGTTCAACTCAAAACCCACTTATTTATTACAAAGTGCCAATTAAACCTAAATACTTAGGTTTTACTTTAGAAAAAAACAACTCTACATTAACATCTTTTGTCTCAAAAGAAATACACAATAACATGTGTGCCACAGGTTTGCCACCAGTGCCTTACAGAATAAAAATTTCAGTGTTTAAAAAAATTGCTTAACTGTTTTTATTCCTTATTTACTTTTCGCAACACATAATTTTTTCTGTGCCTCCTATTAAAAACTAAATACTCCACCCCAGGCATTTATAGTAACTGCTCTATCTCCTAGGATACTGTTCCCCAGATACTGGTTTTATTCGTTTTCTTACTTTAGTCTTTCTTCAAACATTACCTTCTCAGAGAGCTTTTTCAAATTTTGCCCATTCAAAAAGTAGGTCACTTTTATTCACCATTACTATTTGTTTAACACACTTCACTTTATTAATGCTGCCTACTACCTATTGTTTTATTTATTTATATTTGTTTTCTGATTTATTTTGAAATTAGTTCACTAACAATGTAAATTTCATCAGGGTAGAAATATATATAGATCTGTATTTCTCCAATGCCTACAATACCCCTTGGCATAGAACAGGCCCTAAATAAGCATATTTTGAATAAATGGTCACATTTCAAGAATGGAGATCATGATAGTCTAAATTTTTTTTTGTCTTTTTCAGTTTTTATCGGTACCAGGGATCAAACTTACGACCGCTTGCTTGCAAGGCAGGCACTTATGCCACTGAGCTAAATTCCCAGCCTCAATGGTCTAAATTTTTAAAAATCTTGAAAGGAACTTACTTTCAAGTTTACGTAAAAGAGTTATCATTGGGGAAGTGAAGAGCCACCCACTCCTTTGAAAGTGGTAGTATTATATAATAAAAAAGCTACTAGGAAAAAGCAGAGATTAGATGGGATTCCTTATGGAAATCAAATTGAAAGGCTTTTCTTCTTAAGTCATACATAGACTTTTTCCTAAAAACTTATACTCTTTGGGAGAATGTACAATCTAACCAAGCATTCAGAAGAAAAAGAATGAAGAAGACACAGTTACATTCATTACCTGAGGAGTTGCAGAAGTAAAGCAATAACCTAGGTGGGTAAATCACTGATTAAAATTTTAATTGATATAGAACCTATCTTTTATTAAAATGCTACAGGTAAAATAATAAACTTTCTTAGATAATCATAGATTTTTCCCAATCCATTTTCTAATAAAATGTGATTCCAGAATATTCATTTAATGTAGAATGCAAAGTTCTTTGTATGTTACATTCAACTATTAAACACATGTATGAGAATGTGTTTAAGCAAGAAATTGTATTTAGTTGAGCTGTTAGTAAAATATAGTGTCACTATACAAAGAATATTAATTCCTTCAAAATGAAAATACTACACATTCCACATTGAATAAAGACAATTATCATAGGTAGTACGAAAGCCTTCTGAAGGATCAAGAAGATAAAGGTGCCTACGTTCCAATAATGTCAAACTATTCCTTTGAGAATAATAAATTTCACTTACTTTAAAAGTAACTTTATTTTTATTTTTTATTTTTTTGTACCAGGGATTGAACTCATGACCTCACGCTTGCCAAGCAGGTGCTTACACCGCTGAGCTAAATCCCTGGCCTTAAAAGTAACTTTAAAGTAATAGCAGAAAAAGCAGCCATTCCAAAATTAGATCCTGAGATACAAGGGACAGATAGCCTTACCTAGTGACACCAAGTTACTATAGTTCTCCAACATCACGTCTCTATATAAATCCCTTTGAGTAGAGTCCAGGCATTCCCACTCTTCCTGTGAGAAATCAACAGCAACATCTCTGAAGATCACTGATCTCTAAAACAAGAAACATAATAGAAGTGGGAGAAATAAACATGTTTTCAATAGAAGTTGAAATACAAGGAATAACAGAGGGAGGAGGCTATAAAAACTACATAGAGAAAGCTATGTAGCAAACAAATTGGTAAGTTTCTCATGTGGTGATTCAGTAAAGAAACTGGTGATTTTCAGGGCGGAGGGTTTAGCTCAATGGCATAAACACCTGCCTGGCAAGTGTGAGACCATGAGTTTGATCCCCAGTTCCCCCACCACCATCAAAATTTTAAAAATTGGTTATTTTGAAGTGCTAACATGTTCCTAACCTTGTTTCTATAGATATTTTCCATATATCAAACATCTCCATATACAGATAAACCTGGGAATTAACAAAGTAAATGCAATGTCCTAATTAAAAGAAATGGCATATTTAAGAACTTGGTAAAATATGTAAGTTTATATCATAGATTCTCAATAAACATTTATGTTTCTCTTCTTTTCTACTTAAGGAATAGGAAAAAATCATTCAGAAAGTTTTCTATAAAATCTTATAAGATCTGGACAGTATTAAAGAATTTATTGCTGGAGATATAGTGCAATACAGTACTTGCCTAGCAAAAGTGAGGCTGTGAGTTCAGTCCCCAGTACCAAAAACCAACCAAACAAACAAACAAAAAAACTTGAATTTATTAAAGCCTCTATTCATCACTATTTTACAGTATTATATCATAAACATTTTGCAGTGTCATCAGTAATCTAATTAATCTTTCTTACAGGCTAAAGAATAGCTCTATATAGAGGCCATATCTGATTTAATAAGCTTTTACATTTGAAGTTTTTAGGTTTCATAAACTCATAAATATTTCTTATTTTCTAATATTTCTTAGATTTATAATTTTCAACAAGTTATACAGGTGAATGATGATCTTTTTGATTACTATTTGTTACTTCTAACTGTACCGTTTTCTCATTCTAGGCAACAGAAAAAGAAAACAACTCAAATGTACACATTCAAGATCAGTGCATGCTAAATTTCAAAATGATCCAATTATTGTTAATAATCAACTGTATATTCCTAGAGAAGATATTTCCTCCCCTGTATTAAGTCTGTAACATTAAACATTTATAAAACATGAGATCTTGTAAGATACTGAGATGAAACCTAGTCAAGATCAATTCCTATGGGATACCTGGGTTTAAAGAGAAATTCAAAGATTTCTCATATGTGATATCATTTATTAGCCTTCTCTAGCTTATAAAATCAGAAAACTTTACCTTTGTTAGATTAGTTCTCCTAGTCAAAGACATTAAGTACATAAATATAGTTAATTAGATAGACACAATTATGAAAGACACTATTACTTACAAAATAGAACATAATAGAAAGTATAAAGCTAGGAAGTTTTAGGAATAAGGAATGTTAACACACACACCTTGTAAAAAAGCAACTAAAAAGAAATGGTTCACCTGAAACATGGTTTTTAGATCTGCAAGTAGTGTTCAGTCTTCTTCCAGATTCCTGTCTTACAGAAGCAGACAGCCTGAAAAAGGTAGAACTGGAGAAGAGAAAACAGAACCATGAGACCAGGTTTTTTGCAAGCCCCCAAATGATTAAGTTGAAATTATTTTTGTTGGTCATTTTCTGCTGTCTCTTGCCCCCAAACTCCATGAGGATGTCTTGACAGTCATGCCTAATAACAGGCCTCCAAATGGAGATGCTTGAGCTAGAAACACAGATATGCTTAAGAACACAATTGGCAAAAACGGCCTGAATCCTTGACTTCAACTTTCTTTGTGACTATAATACATTCCATGTGTATGAAGGGAAAAGCACTTTCCCTGCAAGGCCTGCTGTGACTGCCTTTGGTGGAGCTGAGAGCTCACACTTAGGAACTGTGATAGGAGTCCCTCTTCATCAACTGCAGAAAGCACTTTTTTCAACACACAAGGAAAAGTCACCAAAATAAATCAGATGTTGTGCCACAAAACTTATACCAAAAACTACTTGAAAAATGGAATCATGCAGAGTATATTCTTTGTTCCTTAGCCACATGATATTAAATTAGGAAATGGTAACAGTAAGAGGTCCAGAAAAATCCCCAATATTTGGAAAGTAAATACTTCTACATTAAGCCATGGGTCAAAAGAGGTAATAAAACATATTTGAAAGTATGTTGAACTGAATGACTTATTATAACAAATGTTGTAGTCTGCAGCAAAAGCAACAATTAAAGCAAGGTTTATAATTTTAAATATTTATAGTGTATTAGAAAAAATAGGAAGTGAAAGATCGATGATTTAGGATCCCACCTGAATAAAGTGTTTTATAGTTTAATTTGATTTAAAAAAGAATGGTTCTCTTTATAAAAATATCCCTAATAATAAATGCAGAAGAAGTGACAAGAATTAAAACATAATTTTGTAATGTCTGATAAAATAATCTAGCATCAAATAAAGGCATCAATGGCTACTAAATCACATTCAAGGAAACAAGTGAGTGTAAAGGTACGGATTCGTAATTGTAGCTCTAGGGAGGCTAAGGCAAGAGGACAGTTGTGAGTTTGAGGCCAGCCCAGCCTACATATGTGAATTCAAGGCCAGCCTGAAATACATAGTGAGACCCTGGCCCAAAAAGGAAAAAAATGAAGGAAGGAGAAAAGAAGGAAGGAAGGAAGCAAGAAAACAAGCAACCTGTAGCATACCGCATCACAGAAACACATATCACCGTGTACAAAAGACTAGTGCAAAACAAAAAATAAACTGAATCTGTTCAAGCCTCTATAATAATTACACAATTGTTTACAAAAATTCAGGGGTGGAAAAGCATTTCAAGACACCAGAGCTAACCTATTAACAAAATCCAGAATATTAGTAACTGTAGAAGGGGCCAGGGATATAGCTCAGTGGCACAGTACCTGTCTGGCAAGCACAAAGTCATGAGTTTGATTCCTGGTACCAAAAAAAAAAAAAAAAAGGTAAGAAAACAAGTGGAAAAACTTACAGATTTTAAAAATTAAGAAAAATATGACACTATTATAATAAATAGTCATTGGCTCTTGATCCTAATAAAATGTAAAATGCTTATGGGCAATGGGAAAATGTAAACACTAGCTTTTTCATGACATTAAGAGAATACTGAGTTTTTTCTTTTTAGTAGTGATTATATATTTTAACTATAAAGTTCTGTCTTTCAGACATATGTATCAAAATATTTGTGGATGAACTATATTACCTGAAATTTTCTTCAAATTATCCCATGTTGGTGGTTTCACTTTGTTTTGAAGGGGGATGGGAGGAGCGGAGCTACAGATAAAACACATTTAGCCATAAAATGATACTTATTGAAGCAGGATGATGGGAAGATTACATGGGCATTCACTACGCTACATTTTTTAGTTTTGTACGTTCTTTAGTTTTTTCCATAAAAAAAGTTTTTAAAAGGCAACACATTTAGGACCTTTCCTGTCTGTCAGGAGCCATTCTTATTCCCCATTACTTTTTTGCAGTAAATTTTCATACTCTTAAAAATAAAAAGTTTTTTAAAAACCCTGAGATTCCACATATGAACAATGAATGATATCTCAGAGGACAGTTTTTTTGGTAATTGTTAATTTTTCAGGTTTTTCTTTTTATGTTTTTTAAATTATGCTAGCATGTAGTATTTTGATCTTACAGTTTTATCTGGATGTCCCTCTAAAGGCTCATGCACTCATAGGTGGAGTTTTGGGGAGATGATTGGTTCATGGGTGGTATGTGATACGGATTAGTGCACTGATGAGTTGATAGCTAAATGTGATGTTGGAAGATGAACTCTGATCAGAGGAGGTGATCACTGAAAGCAGGGGCTGGAAGATTACATCCTCTTCCCTTCTCTCTTGATTGTTCTCTGCTTCCTGCCACCACTATATGCTTCTGCCATAGAGTCCTTCCTTAAAAGCCAGACAACTATGGACTAAACCTCTACAAACCGTAATCCAGACTAAACGTCTTCACCTTTAACTTTTGGGTGTCACGTATTTTGTTCCAGCAGTGAGAAAGTAACTAAGATATTTGACATCAGAAAACAGATACCTTTTGAAATCAGAAACAAGGGCATGCACATTTGTAAAAACAAAACAAACTGTAGGGAGTGGCGCAACCACCCCGCTACGTGTCTCCCCGCCTCTCCCTCCTATGGGCACATAATGCACCTACATTAACCATAATCCTCTCCTACTTAACGTCATGTACACGGATGTGACGATGACCCATCAGAGATCACCCCATAGCCTCTTCCTGTCCCACTGGCCCGCCCAGTGACCACTTTATTACTAAAGGAGGCTTGATCGGATTCTCTTGACTTGTCTCCGTCTCTCTGTCTCCGGCCCTGTCTGTGTTAATCCCTGTTCCTTCTCCAGGAAACTGCCCCGTGGATCCGGATTGACCCATGGAACAGGTCAAGTGGCGCCCATCGTGGGGCTCCTGGCACAAAGGGCTCAATGAGGGAGCCGTCCTGAGACACACGTGTAAAAGTGAAACTAAAAGTTTTGTGACCAATGCTACGTGGGAGCCTGCTGTGCCGCTAGAGTCATGGTAAGTGGACAGTGATCCTTTTCCCTTTTCTCCGGCATGGGTCAGGCATTAAGTGACCATAATGCTTTGTATCAAGTTTAAGTAAAGCTTTAAAGACAAGAGGGATAAAGGCTAAAGAAAAAGATTTATTGCAGTATTTTCAATTTATTCATAAGGTTTGCCCTTGGTTTCCTTTAGAGGGCTCTATTGATGCAAAAAGATGGGAAAGAGTAGGAGATGCATTAAAGGATTACTATCGGGTCTTTGGCCCTGAAAAGGCCCTAGTTACAGCCTTTGCCTACTGGAACCTAATCTTGGAGGTACTTACACAGTGCTGCTGAGACCCTCAAATTGATAAAACAATCACCCAAGGTGAAGCCGCTTTATGTGCTTCCACTTCGCCAACATCGCTGCCTTCAGGAGATGAATCTAAACCTTCTTGCCCCTCCACTGAGTCAAATGATACGTTAAAAAAGCCCCAAGATAGCGGCCTGCCACCATCCGAGCCCATACCACCTGAGGCCCACCACAACTCTTTATATCCCAACCTCGCTCCTTTACAAGAGATTGATTGGAAATAATTAGCAGAAGAAGCTAGCCGACATCACTCGGACCCTATCATAGTCCCCATTTCTATAAAACCACCCCCTTGCTACGATAAGACACCCAAATTGTCTGGCCCCTCTACTGCACTTCTCGACTTAAGAGTCAGAGATCCATGACTTGCAACAACAGGTACAATTAGAACAAGAAAAACAAAGACTCATTCTGCAACTCCAAAGTTTACAAATGAGCAATTTAGATGCCACCCCTAAGATGGCACCAGCTTCTAAAATGGCACTTGCCTCACTTCCGCCACAACAGGGTGGGCCCCTCCCCAAAATGGTGTTTCTGGTGACAGAAACAAATGTACCTCCCCAAGATGGCGCCGCACAGCCGCAAGACGACGCAGACGCCACACCGCTAGCTCCACAAATCATTAGGACCCATAGGCCATTCACAGTGGCAGCTTTAAAAGAATTAAAGACAGCGGTTGCCCAATATGGCCCTACAGCTGCTTTCACTCTTGCTGTTTTAGATTCTATGACCCAAGGTTGGATTATTCCAAATGAATGGAGGGATCTAGCCAAAGCTACTCTCTCTGGGGGCAATTATTTACTCTGGAAGTCTGAATTTATGGAACAACGTGAAAATACAGCTAGAGATAATGCCGCTAGACAAAAGCCCTGGACCCTTCCCATGTTAACGGGAATTGGGGATTTTAACACCAAAGAGGCCCAAATGAGATATGATCCTGGTCTGTTTGCACAACTTAATGCAGCCGCTACAAGGGCTTGGAGAAAACTTCCCTCCAGGGGTGATGTAACCTCCTCCCTCACCCAAATTAGACAAAAACCAGAAGAACCATTCTCTGATTTTGTCTTGTACAGGCAGCCAAGCGCCTTTTTGGCACCGTTGAAACTAATGTGGCCCTAATTAAACAATTAGCCTATGAAAATGCAACATCAGCTTGCCAAGCCGCAATTTGGCCTCATAAAAAAAAAGGAAGATCTGTCTGGCTACATACGACTATGCGCCGACATAGGCCCCGCCTACCACCAGGGTCTAGCTATGGCCGCCACAGTCAAACAAGTCTTTCTTGCGCAAAAAAATAATGGTACATGCTTTAAATGCGACCATTTGGGACACTTTGTACGGGACTGCCCTCTAAACAACAGCAGGGCCGCCTCTTGGTCGATTGTGGTAAGCTAGCCCACCTAACCCTCACTCAGTATACAGTACTCTGGAAATGTCATCCCAAGCCCCAGGTAGTGCCAATTGACCCACAAGGCCAAGGCATTGCTGAACGTGCACATCGTCCTCTCAAACTCACTATTGATAAAGTCAAAGGGAGATCATGGTACCCTATCCAAGGATCCCCCAGACATATTCTATCTCATGCCTTATTCATCCTTAATTTTTTAAATTTGGATGCTTCTGGACAGTCAGCAGCCACGCATTTTTGGCATATTGAAACACAAAAGCAACTTGCTTCTGTACTATGGAGAGACCCCCTGACTAATTCATGACATGGCCCTGACCCCGTTCTCATATGGGGACGTGGTTCAGTGTGCATATATTCCCGCCAAGACAAAGAGGCTAGATGGCTCCCCAAACACCTCGTTAGGCAAATTAATGAGCCAAATAATAATAACCCCCAAAAAGGCCCAGGACATACCCTGAGGCAACTTCTTGTGCTTCCTTACAGAAAATGCCAAACCGATGGATTACGTGGTACCTTCTCGAGAACCTCCTTGGACCATCCTTGACCAATGGTGGATTTGGACCTCCCATCACAAATGGCCTCTAACTCCTTCTCCATGCTCTGGGGAGCGCTCTTCCCCTACCTAGCACCCTTCCTGGGGCCCCTAGCTGCCTTGTTGCTTCTCCTCTCCTCTCAGAGGATTATGACACTCATTACTAATTGGATAGACGCGTTTATGACAAAGCCCATTCAGGTACACTATCACCAGCTGGAGATGGCAAATTAACAAACCTACAGGGAAAGAATTGCCACGAGTGGCCCATATGACGATGTTGTCTAACTGCCCTGAGATAATGGACAGGCAGCCAGAGATGGGCAACTAGGACATACATGCCACAACACCAGCTGCCTAAGACAGGCACAGGACCAACTGCTGTCCTGCAAGCCCATGACGGGTAAGGCCCAGTTGGCTTCATGTAATGAGGTCCTTGACCTAAGACAGGCGCTGTCCTCACAGGGCCTGCCATACTCCTCATTAAAAAATATAGACAGGGAGGAGATGTAGGGAACAGCATGACCACCCCGCCGCTGTCTTCCCGCCTCTCCCTCCTATGGGCACATAATATGCCTACATTAACCATAATCCTCTCCTACTTACGTCACATACACGGACGTGATGATGACCCATCAGAGATCACCCCATAGCCTCTTCCTGTCCCACCAGCCCGCCCCTGCCCTATAAAAGCAGCAACCACTTTATTAATAAAGAAGGCTTGATCGGATTTTCTCAACTTGTCTCCAGCTCTCTGTCTCCGGCCCTGTCTGTGTTAATCCCTGTTCCATCTCCAGGAAACTGCCCTGCGGATCCAGATTGACCCGTGGGCCAGATCAACAAACAAACAAAAAAAACAGATTCTCAGGCTCAATGGTAGAAGGCATTCTTTGCATGTCCAAAGAACTGGGTTCTATCTCTGACACAAATAAAATAAATGAGAAGGTGCATGGGAAGGGGAAGAAAAGAATGTTTAACAGTATAAATTCTAAGACAATTTTCTAAAAATTGGGTAATGGAAGGAAAGATAGGGGAATAAGTAAGTGAAAAAATGAACCAATTTTATTATTACTCAATTCAAGTAGAAGATATGTGAAAAATATTAAAATAAACTAAAAGTAGGACACATCTAGAAATCTGCCCCAAACATAAGCTCCACAAATAAAAAAATCATATATTCAATTACTCATGGCATCATATAATGTCAAAATATTAGACAAAACAAATGGTTATTCATAAGACTTGTTGAATAAATTATTCTCCTAAGCAAGAAAATATGCAGCTATAAAATAAAAAATAAGGAAGATCTCTCTAGCATACTATGGTAGGATTTCTAGGACTATATTAGTTGTATGAAAAAAACTAAAAGTTACACATAAAACGATATATGTTGTGTAATTATCTATAAATGGAAGAAGTAAACAGGGTGGAGGGGAAGGAATAAACACCACACACATTTGGAATTCACTATGTTCTATAACTTTGATTTTAGAAATATGTAAATGTATAACATAAATTTTAAAACAAAATTAAATCAGAGTAGAGAACAATAATCCTTAAATGTGGCACAGCAGCACATGACTAATGCCAGCTATTTGAAGGCTGAGGCAGAAGGTTTCCAGGTTCATGTTAGCCTGGGCAACTTAGCGAGACTTTGTCCCAAAATACAAACACAATGGTACACTACCCATGGGTTACTCCAAACGGCTACCACCAAATTACCAGAACAAAATCAAACCAAATTAAAAGATAAAACAAGAGGAAAGCAAAATAAAGTAGCTTAATCATAAGATAGGTATTATTTTAGGAGACATTAAAAACAATTTTTTATTAGATATTCCTACTGGTTTTTGTGCTATTCAGTTCCAAGAAGTCTTGATGATTTTTCTGTATTCACATGGCTAGTAAAAATATGGGTACTGTTGCTATGAAATTCCCTATCTTTCAATAACTACAAAAGAAGTAGAAAACATGGAAAAGAAAATACAGAGAAAATAGGGCAAATATGAAGCAAATAGCAAAATGATGAATATGAGCCAAACCGTATCAATAATCACACTAAATATAAATGCTGAATACTCCAATTAAAACACATAGATTATATAAAAATACAAAAGTAAACTATATATTGTCTTCCAAAGTAGGTAAAAATCTTGAAGACATAGAGATAGATAGAGAATTCATGAACAAGAATCAAACCCCACGGGAAACACTTCCCAGAATCAACAACTAAGATCACGTCTTATTAAAAAGAGTTTCTGCATGTTGAAAGAAATCTCCAGCATAATGAAAAGAAAACACACAAATTGGGAAAAAATCTTAGTGAAATGTCCCCAGACAAAGGACTTCTGATTAGAACATATAAAGAATTAAAACAAATCAGACCCCCAAAATTCAAAAAATGGGCACCTGAGATGAATACACACAGTTCTCAGATGAAGAAATACAAATGACAAATAAATACATGAAAAAAAAATGCTCAGCATTATTAGTCATTAGAGAAATTCAAATTAAAATCACACTGAGATTCCATCTCAATCCAGAAAGAACAGCCAGGATAAAGAAAACTACCAACAACAAATACTGGAGAGGCTGTGGGGAAAAAGGAACTCTCCTGCGCTGTTGGTGGGAGTGTAGACTGGTGCAACCATTGTGGAGGTCAGTCTGGAGATTCCTCAAAAACCTGGGATTGGAAGTCCATTTGACCCAGCTATTCCAATTCTGGGCATATTCTCAGAAGAACTGAAAACATCATGCCACAGTGATACATGTACACCCATATTTATAGCAGCACAATTTGTAATAGCCAGATCTTGGAAACAACCTAAGTGTCCATCAACTGAGGAATGGATAAAAAAGATGTGGTATTTTTATACAATGGAGTACTCTCAGCTATAAAGAATGATCACATTGAGATATTTATAAATAAATGGATGCAACTTGAAATGGTAAGACTACATAAGATTTTATGGTAATCATGGTTCCCCATTATATTGCTTTGAAGTCTTATAATATTTTCATTCATTAGTTGGAATGGTTTTATTCTGTTTTGTTTGATTTTATTATATGTGATGAAGCTACTTTGAAGAAAACAAGAGATTATGGCATCCATTGCTGATTTAATATCATCTTGCTTTGAAGTCCTACCATGCTTTTGTTCTTCTGTTTCTATTGGTTCTACCATGTTGTATCTTATTTGATTTTAATATGTGTGATAGTATAAACAAAATTTTTGTTTTGTTTTGTTTTGCCTTTTTCCTTTTTATCGGTACCGGGGATCGAACTCATGACTGCCTGCTTTCAAGGCAGGTGTTTATGCTGCTGAGCTAAACCACCAGCCCCCAAAATTTTTAAGGAAAATGAGATATTATAGTAGCCATTGTTCATTATCGGTTATTTGGTTTTGAATGTCCTATAGTACTCTTATTCTCTTGAATGGTTTTATACTATTTTGTTATGTTTGACCCTATTGTGTGTGAAGGTATGTTCAACTATTTCAAAGAAAAGAGACATTACGGTAGCTACTGTTGATATCCGGTTGTCTTGTTGTGAAAGTGCTGTGTTGCTTGCATTGTTTTGTTCTGACTTGCTTTGTTGTGTTCTCCTTTGTTTTATTCTCTTTAAAATAAAATTTTTAAAAAACCTTATATATTGTCTTCAAGAAATGAATTTGAAATATCAAAACACAAATAGGTTAGAAATAAAAATGCATAAAAAGATATACATAGCTAATGCTAATGAAAAGAAAGCTGAAATGACTTCATTAAATATCAAAGTAGATGTTCAGAGTAAAGAATATTAAGACAATTTTATAAGGATAAAGGGGACAATTTTATAAGGAAAAAGAGGTCAATTTACCATTGGGACATAAATCTGAAGTAAATATGTACCCAATAATCAAGCTGCAAAATACATGAAACATGAACTGATAGAAATAACAAGGAGAAAAAGACAAATTTGATAAGAAAAATCAGTAAAGTTGTAGAAGATTTAATCAACACAATAAATCAACAAAACCTAGTTGACATTTATATAGCATTCCATCCAACATCAGCCAGTAAGTCTTTTCAAGGGCACACAGAACATTTACTAAGATACACCAAATTTTATAAAACAATCTTCAAAGGATTCAAGTTTACAAAATGTATTCTCCAAACACAATGAAATAAATTAGAAATTGGCAACAAAAGGCCTTGGGGTGATCCTCAAAATATTCTAAAATGAAATAATACACATAAAATAGCCCATAAACCAACAACAAAACCAAAAAATAGATCAGAAAGAATTTTGAACCAAAAGAAGAATGAAACAAGAATGTTCATTGATAATTTTTTGAGCTAGGCCTACAATAGTTTTTTAGTGTTTGGTATACATTTGAGACTCACCAAAAGCTGAAAAACAAACCAAAAAAGTTAAAAAAGAATGTTTGTTGGAACACATTTTCGAATCCCAAAATATTAAATCTATTTTTCCTAAATTAAACCACTATTAGAAAGCATTTGTGACAACCAATTGCATTTTTCTTGCTATCTACCAAAAAGTCACTATGTCCCTCTATCATTTAAGACAACTTCCTGAAAAACAAAAGCAGTTCAGTAAAAGAAGAGAAAATACTTACCTTGAACTTTGTTTTTGAGTGTGCAACAGCCATTCTTTCCTCTTCTAGGCTCTACTCTCAGAAAAAGAAAATGAAATGACATAACTAAGCCTTTCTTGGAGTCTACGCTTAATTAGAACACAAACTCTTCCTTTACCCCTATAATGTACCCCTCATTTAACATAACCAAAAGTCAGACTAGTACAGTCCTATACCTTCTTTAGGAAGGGTCATGGTCAGATTGCCTTGAGATACATTTTATTTTTGGATTCAAAGCTGCCCACTGGAGATGGCTCTGCAGTGCAGTAGTACAGGCTCTAAAGAGTGTGACTGGCTCCCTATAGCATTCCCTTTCCAAGTAGTGTATTCCTTCTACTGGAACCCATTACATTACTAAGTAGCCTGTCTTGAAGATGTTATTAGTTCTAAAATTCTTAAGAATTCTTTTGTGGCTTGGAAATAACTCCTTTTTCTTACCCAGAGGCTTAAATTTCTGACTTCCTTTTTGTCACTTCTTACAGTTCCCTTAAGGCTGTAAGATTTAAGGCTATAAGGTAAGAGTGCTGGGAAACAGCAGCAATTCCACAACTACAATTCTAAAGTGAGCTGAGGATGTATGCAGAAATGGCCTGTATTGCTGTACAGGCCATGTATGAACAGTCAAAACAGAAGTCAAGCCTTAAATTCATCAAAGAAACACAAAAGCACACAGGATCTAGGATCCATAGAAAGACTCAGCCTCACAATGAATTCTTGGAAATACCAAACAAAATTATACCTTTGTACCATAACAATACTTCCGTGAGATCACGGAGTATAAAGTACACAAATTCCACACAAAGTCAAACAAAATCACGTTTCTACTATTAACCAGAATCATGGCCATCAATTAGGCTACTGTTAAAAGGATCTAGTCAGCTGTACACAAGGAATAAACAAACGCATCCAAGCAGCCGGTTGGGGGGACATACACCCTTTCACAGCGACGCTTTTACTCTCTTCATACATTCGTGAAAATGGCACAAATAATTTCAACGGTCACACATGGGACACCTATCATCAATCACCCAGACAGAAAAACACAAGGAAACCAACAGTCACAAACTGACTCAACAATAGCCACATGCAAAGCCGTTCTCCACAAGATACCAGGCACATACACAGCCTTCAAAGTGACATAAGCACACGCAAATATCCTGTCACAACAGACCTGTCGCCTTTGAGTCACTAACAAACCCCGTCAAACACGTGGTACCCACACAATCAGAGAAATAAGCCTGTCTCCTGTCAAGTAAGTATACGGTCACGAACCCCCTCCGAGTCACCAACAACTCACCCACCAACCACCGTCGTACACACCCGGCTGTGCACACAGTCCCCAGGACCAGGCAGGCTCCAGCTCTCACACAAAACCGCCGGAGACACCGGCGCACACTCCCAGCGACCCTCCCTCCGCGCGTTTCCGCCTGACAGTCCGGACGCTTACTGCAACAGAAGCGCAGCTGAGGGTCCAGGATCTGCCGCCCGGGCTGGGAGTACGATTTCAGGTTTACCTGCCCAGGGGTGGCGAACTAGCAACTCCACAGAATCCGGCCCTCTCCCTACGCGAAGACCCCAACTCTCGCGAAAAAACGGAAATGAAGCGGTATCCCGGACGCGATGCCTCTGGGAGATGTAGTCCAGCCCGGGAAGAGCGTTTAGCGGATCCGCCCGGAAGCTAGGAGGCGCGGTCCAGTCACCCTCAGACGAGTTCGTGGACTCGGCCGCGGGAAACTTTGGCCACCTGAGCCACGCCGAGGGGGCTTCTAGGAGTTTCTGCTGACCCTCTGCGCGCAGGCGTTGGGCGCTTAGGTCGAAAGAAGGTCCGACGTAGTCCCGGGGTGTTTCCCTGGGCAGGTGTAGTGAAGGAGTCGGATCTGCGGACCTCCGGTTTACTTAGGACCCTCGGTTTGCCTGGTCACGTCCTGGGCTGTGTATGTTTATGTATATGATCACCATGCGTCAGGAGGACTGGATGTCTCTCGGGGGCCAAGTGTGTGTTGTATTTCTGCCTCTGTAATTTTTCGTGCTATTGGGTGTAGTAGGATCATTCGCACTTGGAGCTGCTTGGTAATGAGACTGTATGCAGAAGCCAAGTGTGGTGACGTGGCTCCTAATTCCGCACTCTGGGAGGAGGCTGAGACAATAGGATCTCAAGTTCGACACCAGCCCGAGCAAGTTTAGCGAGACTGTCTCAAAAGAAAAGGCAGCACTCTAGCTGAAGTCCCGGGTTCAATTCCAGGGGGAAGAGGTAAGGAGAAGAAAAAATAACTGTGTTGGATTGTCTGACAGTAAGAGACCTCTGCTATAGTGGTTTTTGAACGGTCTCTGTATGTATTTTTGTTTTTATGTCCTTGATTGAGTGGTGGTGATGGTTTGTGACACGTTTACTGTGTGCTTGTATTTCAGGTTGTCTGTACAAATTCAACTAACAATGAGGCTGCGTGTGCCACTGAAAAAAAGATAAACACGTTATTTCTTCCTTGAATACTAATTTGATGATTTGAGAGAATTAATCAACTTATTTAAAAAGTAATTTAGATCTGATTTTTCTAGTAAGCAAGTATATGTTCTATGGTGAAGAATGAAAAGCTCTTTTCTTAAAATTTTATTTGGAATGTAGTAAAACTACAACAGGACAGAACAAAGCCAATCAAGACAATGCAATGACATTGGTACAGAACTTCACAGCAGGATACTGGGATAGTATTACTACTAGGTACTATAGTATATCTCATTATCTTCACAATAGTTGTCCAGTCAATTAGGTATAGCGAAATCAAACCAAAAACAGAACATTGTAAAACCAATTGGAGAATATTGAATAGAGCAAAACCATCATTACAAAACATAACAGTGAAAATAACCTTTGCCATCATACAGAAGATAGAAGGAAGTCCCCCCATATTTGCTATATCACATATGGTCATCTCCCAAGAGATACTCAGACCTCTGTCCCCAGTTGCTGACGGGGTGGGAGGGAGGGTGTTTGATTCTCAGCCCACTGGTGGAAACAGCTGACTGTTTCTTCTCCTGGCCTGCACCAGGTGTGCTTACCGAGAGGGTGGGCAAATTGCCTTCTTGTGCAGCTGCCTAAGTCCCACCACAGTTGGATCTGAAAATCTTTTTTTTTTTTCCAAAGAAAGATGATTTCAAAGCCAATCCTAGGCTAACTTCTTTTTCCTCATTGTTATGTTACTGTTTTATGCCATTGCTGGGGTCACCAAATTAAGGTAGGAAGTCTATTTGGACAAGTACATCAGGCTGCTGGATACCCTAGGCATTGTCTCAGAAAACAACTCAGGTGGGCACCATCCTGTGTAATTGCATTCACATGCACAAGCTAGAAGATCCTGTGACCACAGCGAAACTATCCTGCAACACTGCAACCTGGAGGAGATTTCCAACTATTATGGTATATCTGGGTTCCAGACCACTGAGCACTTTATAACCACAGTGGCCCATTGCTTGAGGAAGAAGAAAACAGGATTATACAATCGGAAGCAGGCAAAGCTATCCTGGCTCACTGGGTGAGTGAGAAAATCAGCTTCTATACAACACCACCACCCAGCCACGCACTTTACCCACCCATCTTGGTGCTGAAATTATTAAAGAGATGACTAGGACCTCTGTACTGAGAATACCAGCCAGGTCAATGAAGATAGCCACAGTTGAGTATGATGAGCTATTAAGTAACACAGACACACTTGAAATGGAGATCAAGTGGCTGCAAGTGAAAACAATTATAGATGTTATTGAAAAATAAATATGACAGTATATCACAGTGGAGACTTGACGGGGTACGGCACCAATCCAAACCATCAAGTACATTGGCTAAATGCAATATGAACCATCATTGCCCCAAGAAATAACAGCATGGTGGATGTTAGCCTAGTGGATAGCTGCTTGGTTCTTCTTTATTGTTTTTTGGTTTTGGATTTTTGAGATGGGGTCTCGCTATATAGTTTAACCTGTCCTTGCACTGTCTGTGTAGCACAGGGTGGCCTTGAACTTACAGTAATTCTGCCTTGGTCTCCCAAGTGATAAGATTATAGATGTACACCAAAATGTCTAGCTTTAGCTTCCCAGTTCTGCAGTGGATTATAGAGACAGACTCCCTGCAACAGGACCAGGTGCTGGCATCTTCCCTGAAGATACAAATAAAATTGCCAGTAAGGCTATCACATTCCATACCTGTCCTCAGCTTTTCTGGTAACAGTGATAATAGTGATGATGACTGATTTGTTGATATCCCTCACTACCACCCCAAGCACTGGTTCCTAGAATGGGTAATACAAATGAAGGAATTTGATTCTCCCCAAAACTCATATATAATAAAAGAAACTCTCATACAATTTGTCTCTTCACTGCACTGTTTGGTCCATTCTGTTCAGTTAAAAAAAAGAGTCAAGAGCTGGAGCTGCAAAGCCCAATACCCACTATTTACTCTTCACTGTTTTTTCACAAGAAAAATAAAACACACTAGAGCCCAAATTAACATACAAACATAAATAAGAGATTGCAAACTGGTAATTTTTTGTTTTATCATTCATACTTTATATAGGGGAATTTGCTTTTTCAGTCTTGCTTTCCATTCTGTTCTGAGTATCACTGTGATTCACTGTTCTTTTAACCCAAATATTTTACCCCATTACCATTATTCTTTGTGTTTCGGATCACCCAAAATTTGGCCTGTAAGAGACCCTCAATCTGGCTCCTGTTTGTCATTTTGCACTTCCTTAGTTTTTGACACAGCTATCCAGACTTACACTGTACATTCCATCTCAGACTTGGAATTGACCACTGTCTGCAGTGAATTTTAAGATGATCTCATCAAATAAAAATCTTCAACCAGAAACAGTTAAATAATTGGTATTATACATGCAATGAAATATTACACATCCAATATACCTGAGATTATAAATTTTGTCAGTTAACTGATCAATGTGCTGAGGATTGAAACTGATTGACTGCAGTGCCAAAAATTGAACCCAAGGCCTTGTGTGCTAGACAAGCACTGTGCCACTAAGCTATCTCCCCTGCCCCAGACTATAAATTTTAAGTTAACCAAACTGAATCTTAAATTTTACAATACAACTAAAGATACTCATGAAAGGTGACTTCCAGCACTGTTTCAGATAGTGGCAAGATAGGTTAAGTGTGTTCAAAGCATAAGGAAAGACTGTGGGGGCATTAATGGGAAATGTGTATTTTACTGGAATAAATTTTAAAACTTTATATATTTGCTGTATATTTTGATCATCTCGTGTATTAAATCAGTGGTTCCAGTGGGCATGGTAGTATATGCCTGTAATCCCAACTTTTGAGAGGCTGAGGCAAGAGGATCACCAGTTTGTGATCAGCCTAGACAATTTAATGAGACCTTGTCTCAAGGAAAACTAAACAGGGCTAAGGTTGTAGATCATTACTAGAGAATGTGCACAATGTCCTTTCCCAGTTCTGAAAAAAATCAGTGGTTCCCAAACCAAATTCAAAGTATACTTTCACTCAATCAATAACTATATATTATTGGTCTCTCATACAATGAGTAACAAATACAAACAAAACAACCATAAATAGAGAAGTGTTTGCTAGTTTCTAGTAAAATTATATAAGTGTCTGTTCTTTCACCTATCAATCCCAGTTTAAGGGACCCAAGTATATACTTTTCAGAAAGAAGCTGAAGAGATTTATTCTGTAAGGCTATCCGTCCACAATAGAGCTATCTATGAAAGCAAATGAGTAGAATTCACATAGCCACCAGCTTGGGAATACTGGAAATCTTTGTAATGTATACATACAATAGAGTTCTGTGCAACTATATGAATAACATCTATAAATGCCTGTGGCATCATAAACATGACATACTTAGTAAAAGAGCAAGTTAAATTGGATCTAATATATGCTATCATGTATATAAGAAAAAGAATGTATGAAAATACAAATATATTTGATTACATTAAACAAAGGATAAGTCATAAAGTTTATATAAGATGTTCTATGTTGGAGGAGGAAATAGTACAAAAGGACTAAAATAGAATATTGCTACAATTAATATATACTGTTAGAATTATAGTAAATCCTAAAATATAAAAGGAATAAGTGAACTTTGTTAGGTAGTAGGTTGTACAATAAGCAGAGATAGAAAGTAATTCAACTACTGTTAAAATACAAAAATTTTATATGTATTGCTAAAGTTAACAAAATTACTGAAAAAAAACCAGAGAAAGTGAAAAGCATTGTAAGAATATCTAACCAGTATTATTTGAAACTGTAAAAGTCATACAAAAATTAAGTTATCACAGGCCAGAAAACATCAAAGCTGTGACAACTAAAAACAGTAGCATCTTGGAATTGATGCTCTAAAAGAAAAAGTTCATTAACAGGATGAAACTCAAAATATATTTTGCGATTTAGTTAATAATGTGTCAGTGTTGGTTATTTTGATGAATACCAACACAAAAAATGTAGGAGACTATAATTTTAATTAAAATATATTTTGCAGTTTAATTAATAATGTGCCAATTTTGGTTGTTTTGATGAATACCACAAAAATGTAGGGAACTCTACAGTTTTTGAAACATTTTTATAAATGTAGTAATTCCAAAACTTAAAGTTTATTATAAAGAGAATAAAAATTATACCCATTAAAATAATGAAGAAAGTTGAAAACACAGTCATACTATTTCCATTGAATATTTTATGAAAGCTAAAGCCACTGTAGAGACTAGAAAAAAAAATGTTACAAAAATACAAAAGCAAGACATAAACTAAAAGTATTTTCAAGTTTTTATTGCCTAAATAGAAACAACCACATTATTTGAATGATTAATTACATTGGCAAACATGAACACATATAATACTAAGAGAAAGTCAGTCTCTACGTATTTTTCATTTGTGTCATATATATGCAATGAATGTACAATCTTGTTAATAAATGTGTAAAAAGAAAACTAAGACAATACCAAAGAATGGATACATAACAATATCCCATGTAGAAGAGAGGAGAACTGAGAATACAGTTGTGAAAATGATTTACTTCTGAGCCAATAAACATAGGGTAAACTAATCAAAAAAGTTAATTTCTTTTTGTAATTCTAATGAAAACATTCAAAATGTTTATATCCTCTTGATTTAACTTAGAACAGAAATGTAGTTTAGTAACTAAGAGTACATACAAGTTGAAAATTTATCTTTCAACATTTAGTGTTATGGAATTTGGATAAGCTATGTTAAGTCCTTGTCATTAAATTTCCTCTTTGTAAATGGGAAAAAATAGTAATCTTTAAAAATAAAAATCCAATCCAGGAATCATTATGGTGGTACATAGAGGAAACGCTGATGTTTTTCACTGTAAAATTTTCAGTGATACTTCAATTTAATATATGATAAAAATGAACTTATCTTGTATAAATAAAACCTGAATATAACTTAAAACTTCAGCTTTTGCTTCATTTATATGATATACTTTATTCCCTGTTTTGGTAATGTCCTTAATAAACAGGATTCCTAAAGAAGCATGCATATGATACAGATACAACTGACTTAAATTTTCTTTAAAGCATTTAAGATTAGTCTGAATTCTAACATTATGGGTCTCCATAATGTATACCTTAGCCTAAACTTACTTGTAACCATTCATCATCAAATGTAAACTTTCAACTTTCCTGAGTGACAGAAAAACTAATAAAAAGATGGTGACAGATTCGCAGAGAGGGTCCCATTAACTGAAGTCTGAGACCTACTAGCATACTTTCCATCTTCCCTTACGAGGAAATCTTCCTTTGTGGAGAGGATCATCATGTTATGGTTTGATAGGACTTTAACATGTCTACGTGAGTTTCGTGTACTAGAAGCTTGGTCTCCAATTTTAATGGTCTCAATTTTTAATGATTATAGAGGCAATAGAAGCTTTAACAGTGGGGGTCAAAGGAAGCTAGACAATGGGAATAATAACCTCATCAACTGATTAATGCTGTCTCAAGAGTTTTAGCTCATGGGAATAAATTAGTATCACAAGAATGAGCAGTTATAAAAATACCAAGCGTGGCCCCTGAATCCTTCTAGCTTCCTGTCTCACTGTGTTACTTGTCCTCCTTGCTTATATTCTCATGATGCCATCCTCCATGCTATGACTCAGCTGTAGAACCATCACCAGAAGCTACCTAATTGTGGACTTTCTTGCCTCCTGTGAGCAAAATAAAATCTCAATCTTGATCTTTCTCTGTCTCTTCCTGTCTCTCTTTCTCATCTTACCTTTCTCCTTCCATCTCTCCCTTTCTTTCTCCTTCTTGAATGTAGGGCCTTTCCACTGAGCTATATCCTCAGGCCTTTTTGTTCTGTTTTGAGACACAACACTATGTACTTTAGGTTGGCTTTGAGTTGTCTATATAGCCCAGCCTGGCTCAAATCCATAGTGATTCTCCAACCTCAGTCTTCCAAGTGGTTTGTTTTTTTGGTACTAGAAATTGAACTCAGGACCTTGTGCTTGACAGCAGGCACTGTACTACTGAGTTATATCCCCAGCCCTCTTCCAAGTGTTGAGATTACAAGTATGCACCACCACACTTAGATCCAGCTCTTTTTTATTTTAATAGAGTCATTGTCCAGTCTGGGTTCAAACTTGTTATCCTCCTGCCTCAGCCTCTTAGAGTGCTGAGATTATAGGAGTATACCATTATACTCATCATAAACCTTTTCTTTTCATACTGTTATCTTGTTATAGCAACAGAAAATAGAATATAAAGTTTTTAGTATTCATCTTTATCATCACTTTTCAGGCAGGTTGTCTTAGTCACTTTCCTTGTTGCTGAGACAAAATATCTGACATCCAAAGTTAAGGGATAAAAGGTTTATTTCACTTGCAATTTGAAGGGGTTTTTTTTTTTTTTTTTGTCTTTTTCCTTTTTATCGGTACCGGGAAATAAACTCACGACTGCCTGCTTCCAAGGCAGGCACTTTTGCCGCTGAGCTAAATCCCCAGCCCCCTTCACTTGCAATTTGTAGAGGTTTCAGCTCATAGTTGGATGACTCCCAGGCAGAGTAGCATGGCAGAGGGAGATCACAGAGGTGAAATAGTTCATGGCAGGCAGAAAGCAGAAGACAGCAAGTCAGGTAGCTACAAGCAATGAGTGACAAGCGACAACTACAACAGCTCTTTCTGTCCCTTACGTCTTATCCAGGTTAGGGTAAGTAGCACACCCTTAACCCTAACATTGCAAGGTGAATGAATACCAGCCTCACATTTTTTAGCCCAGCTTTGCACACCCTTATCCAGCCACCTCTGAAAATCTTCACTTATGACCACATGAGGCTTTAGGGGGACATCCAGACACAAGCCCTAACTCAGTACGGGGGGTCCTGTTAGAATTTTGCTTGCACGTGAAGCAACAAGGAAAACAGAAAGAATATATAAACACTTTCTTGGAATCAGAAGTGCAACTGGTGCAGTTCTTGATGTGCTTGGGGAAGGACTATGAGAGGATGGAAAAAATAAAGATGAAAGCTGAAGTCAGGTGGAGCCCTGTCTCCTGATGGGAGGAAGGGAACTGCACTCTCCCTGTAGGGGCATTTATTCATACATTTAGCAACTTAATGTCACATGACATTATCTGCAAGAATGGCAACTAATGACCTGATGTTTGGGGCCCTGGAATCACTTGTTTTTGCAGCTCGCTTGGGACTGTCCTTGTTTTCAGACCTGGCTGGCCAGCCCCTGCACATGTGGTCAAATTCCAGCTTCAGCATCTCCCAAAACAGAAGGAAGATTAGAAGGCAGTTAAAATGCAGAGCCCAGGGAAACAATGAAAATGGACAGAAATGGTTAGGAGGCTCTGGATGGGATAGTCCTATCCAGGAATGGTCACAATAATGAAAGCAGATGCTCACATGGCCGATGGAAAGCATAAATCTCCATAACTGAGCCATGGGGTTTTGTCTAGCAATAGACATCCAGTCTCCTTGGGAGTCAGACAGACAGAGTCAAGGCAAGGCTAATCCATCATGCTAACCTAGTTGCTGTAAATAGCTGATTCAAATTGCCCCACTTTGCCCTGCTTCTAATTTGGCCACTTAGCTATCCTTAAGGTCTCCCCCTCACACTGACTGGGGTATGCTGGAGAATGCACAGATTTCCCCCTCTTTCACTTAGCCTGAACTGTTATTCTATAGCTGTTGCAGATTCAGCTGTGCAGCTGGACCTGCTTGTACATAAAGAACCAGAAGCTCCCTCCTTTGCTGCTCCTCCATTCTCTTGAACTGCCCAAAGTTTTTCCAGGAAATGATAAATTAAAAAAGAACAAAATGATCCATTGTGATAAGAGAAAGTCTCTTAAGCTTATCTCCTAGCTTCCAAGTTACTTCTCTATGGTATTTTGAATGTGTTTTTCCCCAGAAAAGAACTCTGTCCTCCATACTGCATTTCCCTGAGCTAAAACTCAAGCAGAGAAACTCTGGTACATCCAGTTACAATCTTGCCCTCAATCTCATCCTTATACAATAGAATAATTCCCTATTCCAATGTTTTTAAGATAACTCTGTGAAAGAAATATACAATAATGAAAGGCATACTATATTATCAAAAGATAAGGGTTCTCAATAAATTACTAGGAAAATATCAATAAATTATTAGGTTGGTCAGAAAAGTATAAGAATTAGCAATGTACTTGCTGTAAAATGGGAGGTAATTTACAAATAAAGTTATAAAAAAATCTAGACTTTCCTTCTTTTGGGAGATTTTAAGAGTGGCCTTCATAAAACATTATGGAGTTTATTTCAGCTATTATTAAATGATACAAAAATATGAATTTTAACAGGTCAAATCATTTATCAAAACTTAGCACACTACACTTAGCACACTACACACTGCTGTGGGTGCAGAAAAATATTCTAACACATAAGACTGCAACTGAAAAGACAGAGATTAACTGGTAGCACAGATACCTAACAAAACAGAATACAGGTATTCCTCGTTCAATGACTGCGTTCTGTTCTGTGACTAGGTTGTTAAACAAATGGATCACTAAATGGTATGCGCAGTATGCAGAACAAAGAAATGCTTCAAAGGAAACTCAACCTGATGGATTCAATAAATTTTATATGCCTTACTCCTTACATGTAGTACTGCAATGTATAATAGAACATAAAATTACTCTATATTACAATTAACAAAAATTACAACAGTATAAATAAACTGTATTGTACAAAAATGATATGGAGGCTTTATCAACAAGGTGTATAGAACTGTACACACACACACACACACACACACACACACACACACACACACACAAATGGGCTGAAAGTTTGAGCAGCAGATCCTAAGTCAGAACAGCATGCCTCAGTCTACAGATCAAATAGTTGTAAAACAGGCAGGTTGTTAAACAAGGAATATTTGTAATAAACAATGATTACTGGAACAGAATAATTTATAATGCCTCAAAATATATTCTTTGTAATGAGATAATACTGTATACAGTATTTCTGTTGAAGCAAGGTATCATAAAGATGACACAGAAAAACATACAGAAATTTTGATGATGCATGATACAGAGGAGGAAAAAGTAGCATAATGGTTACTGAAACATGCTAAAGTAGTCCATCTTGTCCCAGAATTCTGAGAAAAAAATGCATGACAATGACAAGAAAAACAAAAAAGCATCCTGATATCTAAAATATGTCTAAAACATATTCTAACATGAAGAACAGATGGAGAAGAGAAAGATAACCCTTTCATAAGAGTAGAAGAAAAATAGTTTTTAAAAAGGCAGTCTTCCAGGGTGTGGTGGTGCGTTACTGTAATTCAGCACTCTGAGAGGCTGAGGCAGGTGGACTCCAAATTTGAGCCCATCCTGGATAATCTGAGTTAGTGAGACCCAAAAGAAATAAAAGGGAGACAACTCAGTGTGAAAGCACTAGTGGAATCTCTAGTACTGGAATCAGCCGATCAATTAATCAGTCAGCCAATCATTGTCTTGAGTCTTTGGCATATTAAAGTATCTGTAAGTTATGATTATACATTTCTTAGGGAAATTTCTTAACTACATACCCACAAAGAGAACAGCTTTAAAATTTTTATATCTGGGAACATATAATACAACAACAAAACTCAAAGTACTCAAAGTAGAACTTCTGTTATCTTGTATCAGATCCTCAAAGTAGCAAGTTACATTTCTCAAACCAATGTTTCCACATAAAACAATTTTAAGTGTGTATTGATAACTTCTTTAAAGCTTTATCAGCGCTAAGGAAATACCAATTCTGACAATTTTTGGCATTTATCATAATAGTATCTGAGGAAGATAGAACTGAAAGGATTGGCTGCTAGATTCAACGTGTAATGAGACAGAGTAGGGAGCACAATCATGGATTATTACACAGTTCTCTTGCCTGAACAAATGGAAAGATGGAGTTGTTACATACAGAAATAAGAGTACTGGAAAGGAGCAATTTGTCTAGAAAAGTAGAGATATAAAGTATGCAGTGGGCATATAAATTTGAATATTCAAAAGAGAACTTTAAGAAGGAAGTTGAAAATAAGTGGGAAATAGCTAGTTATTTTCGTGGACTTCAGACTGTAGAGAAGAAGAATCTCAGGAATTTGCTATGATAGATACTGAAAATGAATGAATAAATATTTTTAATTAGAGTCCTGTGTTGAGGAATTAACTGTGAGTACAGGACATTGTAGAATAGATGTCACCAGCACAGAGTAAGGTTGTTTGCTCACAAGGGTTCACAATATCTTGTGGAGGTGACACAGAAAGTGTTGGTAAAAGAAACATTTTTCCAGGAACATGGATACTCTAGTAAATGTATTATTGAACTTTTGATGAAGAATGATTTTTACTGTAGTTCCATTTGCATTCTTATGCTGTAAAACTGATCACTTATAAGGAATATAGCTGGGTGGCACTCTGTAATCCCAGAACTCTAGAAGGTTGAGGCATGAGGATTTGAAATTTAAGATCAGTCTAGGCAATTCAGCAATTTAGTAAGACCCTGTCTCAAACTAAAAATAAAAAGGTCTGGGGATGTAACTCAGTGTGAAGGCCCTGAGTTCAATTCCTAGTACTGATTCCTTCAAAAAAAACCCCACAGAAGTATGTGTATAAATTCTTCCATTTCTCTATCAAATTATTGGTCATTTTAGCTACTAATTTTTAATATATGAAAGTAAGTGCTTTTTATGTGTTATGTCAATAATGTTTACTAGTTTAAACTTTCTAAGATATTTCTTAACCAGAAAGCTTTATCATTTAGTAAACATTACCATTTTCCTGTATATATGTCTATGATTTTTCTCATTCTATTAATTTTATGCATATTTGGATTTATCAGAGAACTTAAACTGTACCTCAGAGAAATTTATGATCACTCAAGGGTTCCTCTGTTATTAGGACTAGAGTTTGGTACATCCAACAAGAATAATTGTGCAATTAGTAAAATCCTAAAGAACAGAATAATTCTGAATCTAGGATCTGAGTATTAATTCAGCATATGAAGAAGATGATGTGGTGACTTTAAGTCAACTAAATATAAAAACATAATACAAAAAGTAATTAAACATAAAAAATCCCCTTATTAATAGGTGACATGGAAAGATAAGTAGTTGCATATTCTTCAGAATAAAATAACCAAAGAATATATATTACAATAACAGGCCTAACAGAGAGAATATGTGATGTGTACATCACATACATAACATCACATACATCATGTACAAAAAGCCAACTTGTATTTGGCCACAAAAATATAGTAATATTTTAACTTTCTAATGATGTTTTCACAGAAAAAACATACATTATAATTCCATACATTAAACCTTGAGAGAAAATTTTGAAAATTTGAAAACACACAACTAGTCAATCAAAAAGAATTCAAAATTAAAACAAAAATATCTAGATGCCAATTTTAAAGATCTATAGGCCATAGAGCAATATTCAAAGGGAGTATTGCAGCCTTAATGTTTCCAATTGAAGAGAGACAGAAAACACTGTACTTAAGTACCCACATTCCATTAAGAAAACAGCACTTGGGAGGCTGTGGCAACAGGGTCACCATGAATTCAGGGTTAGCATGGGCCACAAAGTGAAATCCTATCTCAAAACAAACAAACATAGGGAAAAAAAGCACGCACAGTGACATATGTGTGTAATGCCAGCTACTTGGGAGGCTGGAGCAGAGGAATCATATGGACTGCAAGAGTAAGCACAAAATGGGCAATTCAGACTTACTGAGAACCTGTTTTAAGGGGCAAGGGGGCTGGAGGTGTAGCTCAGTTCAAAGGCCTTGGATTCAGTCCCCAGTAACACAAAACAACAGGAAAAAATACATAAAAAGTAAAGACAAGGAGGTAATACTGAATTAATACTGAAAAAATATTAAAAAGTTAATACTTGTTAGCTATAAAAAAGCAAATAAAGTCAGGCATGGTGGTGCATATCTGTAATCTCTGCACTCAAAATGATGAGGAAGGAGGATGGCTGGGAGTTATAGGCCATTCTGGGCTACATAGTGAGTTCAAGGCCAGCCTACACTACAAAGCAAGAACTTGTCTCAAAAAAAAAAAAACCAATAATTGAAATAGAAATATAGTCAAAGGAAACAACAGCTTGGTTGACACAGCAATATATAAAAAGTATCTTCTACAAATAAATTTAGAGAAATCAATGGCTTAAAAACAAACAAACCATGAGGAGATAGATACTGAAAACTGAAAACAAATTACTTGCTTTAAACAGCAACCAATTTGAAAATATAAAGAAAACATAAAAATGCCATATTTCATTCATTCTAAAATGTATTTTTTACTCCACACTTTAATATCTCTTAAGTTGAGAGTAAATTTATATTCAGTTATCTACTAAACATTTGTTGGGAGCCGCGGCCGAGCCCGGTCGCCTTACTTGGCGGACGTGAGGCCTGTAGGAAAGAGCAAAGCCTGAGCTAGATTACCCCTCCCATCGAGTGTGCTAAGATGGCGCTTATCTCCTGCTTCCTGCTTGGTAAACAACCCGCCCTGTAAGATCTCCTGCTTCCTGCTTGGTAAACAACCCGCCCTGTAAGATCTCCTGCTTCACAACCCGCCCTGTAAGATAGTCTGCCTAGCAACAACTGATGTTAGCCAATCAGCCCGCATCGCGCGCTTTGAACTGATTGGCCACTGTAACCCTATAAAAGTGAGTGCCTCTCCCGCCACAAAAAAAGAAGCAGAAGAAGCACGCAAGGAGCCGCGGAGAGCGGACCGGTAGAGGCTTCGGGACAGACTGTAGGAAGAAGCACGCAAGGAGCCGCGGAGAGCGGACCAGTAGAGGCTTCGGGACAGACTGTAGGGAGAAGCACGCAAGGAGCTGCGGGGAGCGGACCAACAGAGGCTTCGGCCGGGAGGATTCCCGGGGCAGGCTGTACGGAGAAGGAAAATAAAAGAAAAGGTTGTCCACTGCCAGACTTTGTTGTGTGTCCTTCCTGCCGGCCGGGAGTGACACCGACAAACATTAATCTGCAAAATAGTATTATTGCATATTTTAAATGGTGCACTTTACAAATGCAGCATCTTAAATATATTAAGATGCTTTAACCTGTCTTTACAATTATAATTGCATAACATCTTAGAAATTTACAAAAATAACTCTATCATCTCAAATTATAAAATATACTATGACAGTTTTCATCTTTTGTTTTCTTATGAAAAATGTGACTACCAGAATATTCTTTCAAAGGATCTGATTGAAGGGGTTAGGGAGAAAATTATACAAATAATTACATTGGTTAGAAGAATTTTTTCCAGCTTTTTCAGAAACAGGAATTTTTGTTTCATACTTTTTGTATTCTATCTTTATGCCTCTTTAGAGTCAATTCTGGTAATTTAAGCTTTCTTTCCACAATGCTCATGTTAAATTTCAAAATACTATATAATATGTAATTGTAAAATTTCAAAATCTAGAAATCTTTTTTCATGTCCTTAATCTATATTTATTATTTTCAGAATTGCTATTATGTTCTTTGTTTTTTCCCAAATAAACAGGTTGTGATGATTAATTTAACTAATACTTTTGTGGTCTTCTGTATTTAAATTATTTTCCCTTTACTTTTACAATTCATTATTTGGGGGAGTTGTTTTTTTTCCAGCATTTTGTATTTATTTTAGTTTCTTTATTCATAATCTTCTTTATATTCTAAGGTATTACTAGATGCAGGATTATAAATATTTTCCCAGTGTAAGATGTGGCAGATCCTCACAATTAGTCAATGACATTTTTTGACATTTCAAAAAAATGTCATTTTAGGCCAGGTCATGGCATATACTTGTAATCCAGCTACTTATGATAGTAAGGTATGATAGCCAAAAATTCAGTGCTACCCTAGGCAACTAATCAAGACTTTGTCTCAAAAAATAAAAAGGGTTAAAGATATAACTTTGTGGGGAGTCCTCCACTCAATCTCAAGTATTTTAAAAATAATATTTGGTTTTTCTTTTAACCAAAGGATGGTGCAGATGGCACTGAGTTAACGTTCAGGTGTTTTTGGTTTTTTTAGGGCCTGGTCTTGCTAGGTAGTTTAGGGTGGCCTTGAACTCACATATAGCCTAAACTGGAACTCACAGCAATCCTGTCTCTTGATTGTCAGGATTACAGGTGTATGCTATGCCACCATATCTGGCAATATCCTGAGTTTTATGTAGGGGTTATAATAGCTTTATTTTTATTTTCACCATGATATGAATTTTATTATACTTTTATCTCAGGTTTTTCTTCAGGGTCAATTATTCTTTTTTTTCTTTTTGGTGCCAGGAATCAAACTCAAGACCTCACACTTGCCAGGCAAATGCTGTGCCACTGAGTTATATGCCCAGGCCAGGGTGAATTATTCTTATTCAATAAGGAATAAATTATGATCAAACTTAATAAATGGGGATCAAATTCATTTACATGATTGTTTTTCTCTATTATGAGATATTTATTATTGAGTAAGTTATGGGTCATATTTAAAAGTTTTCCATAAATGATAACAATTATGATGGCTAATATTAACCAAGCATTTATTATGTATTAGGCACAATTACAGAATTCACATAACAAAGCTCTGAAGTACTTTAGCCATGCCCACATAATGTGTGCCATATATGCATCCAAAAGAATCTGGAAGCTTAAATTGGTTAACAGGAACTGAAGTCAGGAATGGTCACAGGGAAGCACAGCTTGATCTGTAATGTATACATCTTTTACAAGCAGAAGAAATCCACACATTCTCTTTGAAATAAATGATAAATATTGCAAACACATTAGAAAGGCGGCATTAAGGTAACTGTTTATACTGGCAAAATTTCAATTTTTGACAAGACAGCATTTTGATAAATATGAGTAAATAATAAAGAAAATAAAATGGTGACAATATAGTTACATACAATGAATATTAAAGACTGTTCATAGTATAGCATAATCACATTTTGTTTAAAAACAATGCAATAAGGATTTGCTCAAAAATTTGACAGTACTTATCTGCAATAAGACTACAGATAACTGTATTTTCTTGTTGCTCTTATCTACATGTTCACGGGGGAAAGTTTTTGAAAAATCAGGAGTATGATTTTTATAAAAAGAAAATAAAAATTCTCCAAATTAAAAGGTACAGATCCATCTAAAAGTAAAAGTTATCTAACATAAACAGAATGAGACATAAATACAAGTACACAAGTTTTTAAAAAAAACAAACACTGACTTGATAGCCAATATTTATATAAATAAAAATGTAACATCAAATACTCACTAAAAAACAACATGAAAATAGTGAATAAATGGTTTTAGGAAGAGAATTGAGAGAAGGAAAAAGATAAATTTAAACTTTCAATAATAAAACCATTGTGAGACGGATTTTAATTCTGTATAATACACATTAGAAAGCTGACACAGAAGGACTGGAAATTCAAGGCTAGGCTGGGCAACATAACAAGTTCAAGGCCAGGACTACATAATGAGACCCTGTGTCAACCCAATACACATAAAGACATTTTTAAAAATGAAAATAATAAATTTAGCCAAAAATGTTTTTCAATGTTTAAAATAAAGGCAAAATACAATAAACATTTTCCATTTTTAATATTTATTTTGAACTTTCTAAAAGTCATAAGGAAATGAATATAGATAAAGATCTTCCAGTATATATTTTATTCAGGATAGTTTTCTTCTGCATTAATTCTCTTAGGCTAACTATCCTATAAAGCATAAGTCTTGTGTGCCTTGATTTTATTTGTAAGGATTTTCAGCATTATTAATTTTCTTATGTCATGCGTTGAAAGTCCTTCATTATTTAACTTTATTTCACAGACTTTGTATTTCATTGAACTTCTCACCTTTGTGACTTTTCTTATGTTGCTGAAAATCGCCCCTCCACAAATTTTCCATACGTCTTACATTCACAAGGTTTCTCTCCAGTGTGGTATCTCAGATGTTGATATTGAATAACATTCTAGTCACTAGAAAAAGTCTTCCCACATTCCTTACATCCATAGGTTTTCTCATCAGTGTATTCTCTGGTGCCTATTTAGAGAAGAAACACTTCTAAAGGACTTTCTACATTTCTTACATTCATAGGGTTTTTCACCAGAATGAACTAGCTGGTGTTGAATAAGTTTTGAGCCACTACCAAAGGCCTTCCCACATTCTCTACATTGATATGGCTTGTCACCAGTATGAATTCGCTGATGCTGAGTAAGATCTGAGCCACTACTAAATGCCTTACCACATTCTTTACATTCATATGGTTTCTCCCCAGTGTGCATTCTTTGATGCTGAATAAGTTTGGAACCACTTCTAAAGGCTCTGTCACATTCCTTACACTCATAGGGTTTCTCACCAGTGTGAATTCTCTGATGCTGTGTGAGATCTGAGACACTATTAAAAGCTTTCCCACATTCCTTACATATATAAGGTTTCTCACCAGTGTGAATTCTTTGATGTCGAGTAAGGGCTGATCCAAAACCAAAGGCCTTTCCACATTCAATACATACATATGGTTTCTCACCCGTATGAATTCTCTGATGCCGATTAAGGGCTGAACCACTGCTAAATGCCATTCCACATACTTTACATTCATAAGGTTTCTCACCAGTATGAATCCTCCGATGTTGAGTAAGGTTTGAACCACTGCCAAAAGCTTTCCCACAATCTTTACATTTAAAAGGCTTTTCCCCTGTGTGAATTCTGTGATGCCGAGTAAGAGCTGATTCAAAACTAAAGCACTTCCCGCATTCCTTACACTCATAAGGCTTTTCACCACTATGAATTATCTGATGTCGAATAAGACCTGATCCAAAACTAAAGGCTTTCCCACATTCCTTACATTCATATGGTTTCTCACCTGTATGAATTCTCTGGTGGTGAGTAAGGTTTGAGCCACTACCAAAGGCCTTTCCACATTCCTTACATTCATAAGGTTTTTCACCAGTATGAATTCTCTGATGGTATGCAAGGTTAGCACCACTACCAAAGGCCTTGCCACATTCTTTACACTCATAAGGTTTCTCACCAGTATGAATTTGCTGATGTCGTATAAGGACTGATACAAAACTAAAATCCTTCCCACATTCTTTACATTCGAGGAGTTTCTCATCAGTGTGAACTGTCTGATGCTGAGTACTAAAAGTGTCTTCAGGAGTAAATATCATGTGACTGAAAGGTCCTTCCTGAGATCCCTGTTTTCTCTCAAACTGGCTTTTCCATTCCCAATCACCTCTGAAACTTGAACACTCAATGCTGTGTTTTGTAAGTCTTTCCATTATTTCCCATCAGGATGATTCTATTCCATAAATATTCTTTTTCAGAAATAATTTCTTGGTCTGAACCTTGATTCACAGTCTGAAAGAAAATATAAAAGCAAAATTCACTTTTTTAGTGTTTTGGGGAAAATAAAACAGTTACGATATGAAAGACTTAACTGAAATTAATTTTCATAAGAAGTAACTTACACAGTTCTCAAATATAGTTGGGATATTTTGAAAAATAGATGGAGAAAGCAAAATGAATGGAAAAGGTCACACTGGAAAGTAAAAGAGACATTAAGGAAAACAGATTAAATCAAAAGTTCCTAAATAGTCATTTAGAAAAAAAATCCCTGCAGATTTGGGGAGCTTGATAAACACAAAAAAATTTACAAACTCAATTATAGCTTTTCATTTATATCATGAATCTAGTGTCGTATATACTTATAAATGAGAGTAATTATCATGTTCATTATTCAGCAATCAGGAATAGATTTTCAAGTAACAAACAGTATTTATACACAGATTAAAGAAGCTAGAAGAGACAGGTATTACAGATGTAGCAGATGAAAGACTAATGTGCTGAATGAGAAGGGAGACAATGGAGATGGAAGATTCCTGTATAGTTAGGATGAGCTTTTTACATGGCAGCTGATAAAAGTACTATTTTCCTGGGAAAACTAGGCTACCCTTTGGAAGACAAAAGAGAAAGAGCAAAAGTACAGCAGAGTAACTTAGAATACAGTTTTTTAAAGCACAGAAGGGAAAACAGGAGTTCGTGTGATACTACTGGAAGATTGCAAGGAGGAAAACAGATGAATATTCTGAACCACAGCTCTGATTATTTTTTAATAACTGAAATTACACATATGTACACATGTACTTGCATAAAGTAACTACATAGCATTAACTATTATTTTAGACATCTTAAAAAACAGAGAGACCAGGAAATGGATTTAAAGACATTATTAGGACTCTACTTCAAGCCCTAGTAGGAGAAGATATTCCAACACATTTCTTCCTATAACATTCATATATCAAGCTTATCAAAAACAGGATTTAAATATGTTTGCAATTTTTTCTTTCAATCTCAACTGCCCATGGGTAATCAAAGCCAAAATCTTTACTTGGACACTAAAACCTTTCAATAATTCTCAGCCAAAGTGATAGTCTGGCACTGTGGATCCAAGTTCTTTCAGTGACTTCCCACTGTCTTCAGGAGCATACCTGTCATCCTTAAATTGGTCTTAGAAATTTTCAGTAATCTGCATTCTTCCTGTCTCTGAGTCTCTCTCCTTTCTCAACAGTGAGTACAGCTACAGTAGCCTTTTGTTCTTCAAATTTATGAAAATGTACAAATCCATCCTACTCTGATTTGATCTGCTGAAATGTTTTCCAACATCTCCCCTACCCATTCCCTTTACTCTGGGCCTTGCAAGTTTGTTCTGGCTTTCATATAGGTCTTTGCTAAACGGCATGGCCTATTAAAGCATTTCTAGAACACTATGTTAATTATGTATACCCTGTCATTATTTCTCTGAGTGCTTTTCTTTCTTTGAGTACTGTTTTGATAATGGGTAATTTTATCTTTTATAATTGAAAATTTCTGATTCAAATGAACTAATTAGTGTCCAAGTGCTTCAGTAAGATCTAAGATGCATGAAGGAAAAAAATAATGTCTGTTCAGCTTGACCCATGAGCCAGGCACGGTGCTACAAGCCAGTTATCCCAGCACTTGGAAGAAGGCTAAGGCAGGAGGCTCACTGTGAGATCAAGGCCAGTCTTGGCTACAAAGTGAGTCCAAGACCAGCCTGGGCCCAGGCTTAAAAAAATTAAATTAAACTAAATTAGACTATGGCACATACAAAGACTAAAATTTATTGTGATGAATAAATGATTTTCAGATTTATTATCCTTAAAATTAAGCTTTTATCTTTTCCCTTGGTAAAATCCAGGATTTGCACTCATGGGTGTTCTACCACTGAGCCTCCTCTCTTCCGTCTCTCCCCTCTTTCCCTTTCCCCTATTCTTTCCTTCTCTTCCTCTGCCTTCCTTCCTTTTATTTTCTTTCTTTGTACTGGGAATGGGACACTGAACCTTGCACCACGCTACATTTCCAGCTCTTTTAAATTTTCTTTTAAATTTTGAGACTGTCACTAAATTGCAGAGGCTGGACTCAAATTTATGATCCTCCTGGCTCAGCTTCCAGAGTTCTAGAATCACATGAATGTGATATCACACCTAGCTAAGTTTCTGTTTTGTGATAGGGCCTTTCTAAGCTGCCCAGGCATAACTCAAATTTGCAATCCCCTGACTCAATCTCCCATAGTATTGTGATTATAGTTGTGTACCATTACGCCCATTGCAAATGAATTTCTAAAAAGATTGATCTAGAAAAAGGTCATACTTACTCTGAAAAAGGACAGATAGATCACATAGAATTACTACCACACTTTCTGTCATTTCACTGAAAAGAATGAAAAGGAATTTTTAGAAAGGAACAAACCCACCAAGTCAGAGAATTAAACAGTAAATGGCATAAAAAAATCACAAGCTAGAAAACATAAAGATGAATAATGACTACCCTAAAGAAAAGAAAACCTAAATCAAAAGTAATAAAAAGTCAGAAGCCGACAATTAATGCCCAAAAAGCCTAGAATGACTTATGAAGTGGGGTCACTAACTACCTATGAAATTCTACAAATTACTATATACATGGTTACATAAACTTCTTAGTGCCTATAGTAAAATACAAACAGATCATATACTTGTACATACATATGCACTTAAATGTTCAATGTGGTATTATTCACAACAGCCAAAGCATGAAGGTTATGGAAACTTAAATATACAGTATTCAATGAATAAACTGTCATAGTTGGGCATGGTGACACATGCCTGTAGTCCCAGGATTCTGAGCAGCTAAGATAGAAGGATTGCAAGTTTTGAGTCCAGTATATGTAACTTAATGAAACCAAAAACAAACAGGAAAAATTTCTAAGAACACTTCATAAAGAATGAAGAAATGAAAAACAGGAAAGAAAACTAGAAGCTCAAAAGAAGTCCTACATATAACGAGGAAGAATATTTATTCCCCCCCCCCAAGTCATCCTAGTAAGTTTTACTACTGATCTACATCATATTCCCAGTCCAGCTTTTTTTTTCCCAGTCCAGCTTTTTAAAACACAATTTAAAAACTAACTTAAAGTCAGGCATGGTATTTTAAGCATTACACATTTCATCCCAACAATCTAGGAGGCTGAAGTAGAATTGCAAATTCAAGTTGAGCTCAGGCCTAGCAATTTAGCAATCCAGACTCTGTTTCAAAATCAACTAACTAAATACAAATAGCTGGAGATGTAGCTCAATGTGAAGACCGAGTTCAATTCCCACTAGTGCAAAATATATATTTAATATATCTAACCTATGGTACAAGACAGCAACACAGTAAACTAGATGGAGAATATTCATTGTTTTATCCATGTGGTCACTTGGCTAAATAGAGACTATGGTTTCCTGCCTCTGCCCAGAATTACAAAAGGGCATTTTATGGCACAGTGCTACCCTGGGAATAGATCAGAATTCCAAACTTATTTTATACTGGAAAGATTTGGAATTCATTACTATTACTATAAGTGACAAAACTTGGTATCACAAATAGCAGGACAACATGACATTATGTATCTCCTGATACAATGCAGTAAGTCGCTTATATGGTATATTTGCTAACAATACTTAATCTGAATCTCAGCCTCCTCTCCACAAGAAAGCCATTAGATAAACTGAGATTCTTGTATGGGACAATTATCCTGGATTCTCCAACAAAGTCAAGGTCAGATAACACAAAAAACTGGGAGATAATCCAGATTTTAAAACCATTAATGTATGTTAATTTTCTTAGGTTTAAAATATGTTGTATTTTACCTTTTCTTTTCTTGGACCTGGGATAGAAACCCAGGTCCATGCAGATACTTGGCAAGTACTCCTACTTCTGAGCTACAACCCCAGCCTTAAATATGTTCTTAATACTTAGGATATATGTTTTAACACATTCATGATGGGGCCATAATTCATATGTCTTGCTATCAGGTGACCTAAATCACTAATGGTATATACATCTCTGTCCAACTGAATGGCTTAATAATTTTCTTTGATAAAAGTGGCTAGATCTGTTTGTAAGACTAGTGGTTCAAGCCAGGGTGGAACATGTTAAAAGTATTAAGGGTAAGATGTCAGGATATTCCCAACTCAATTTGAAATGGTTAGGAGAAAAATGTTTCTTTCTATATATTTAGACATATAAAGCAGTGTGCCAAAATTCTGACAATTGCTCAATTTAGTGAGTCTGAATGTTTGTGTTCCTCATAAAATATTGAAACCTCACCATTAATGTGATACTATTAATGTGATACTATTCCACAGAGTCACTGGAAACTAATCAAGTCACAAGCCGAGACTCCTCATCGGTGTAATCTGAGCCCTTGTGAAAGAAGCCCCAAAAAGCTGTCACATCCCTTTTATGATGTGATGACACAGGGAAAAGGTACAACCTATGGATCTGAGAGAAGGTCTTCACTGGATATTGAATTTTCTGGCATCTTGATCATAGACTTTCTAGCCTCCAGAACTAGGAGAAACTAGTTTCTGTTGTTTACAAGCTACTCAGTTTATGACACTTTATTAAAATGGCCCAAATAAACCAAGACAAGGCTACTCCAAGTACCTGGAATATTCTTTTAATTTTTCTGCATGTTTTGAAATTTTTCAAAGAAAACAGAAAATACGTATTGTTTTAAAAGTAACATCCAAGTATATTTTCCAGAACTCCAGGAGAGAATCACTGCATTTGGTAGGTAAATTTGATATCCAGCATATGGAATAAAAATTATTCACATTATATTTTTTTGGCCAGGCTTAGTGGTGCACACCTATAATCCCAGTTCTCTGGGAAACTGAGGCAGGAGGCTAACAAGTTCAAGCGTAGCCTGGACAACTTAGTGAGACTCTCTCTAAAAATTAAAATAAAAATGCTTGAGATGTAGCTCAGTGTGAAGGCCTCGAGTTCAATCCAGAATACTGCAAAAAAGAAAAAGAGAGAGATTTATTTTTATTAGTTTCTAGAACAGTGGGGTCAAAGAAAAGCCCCTAAAAGATTTTAAAATGAAAAAATTGGGAAGGGGGAGTAAACACAAGACCAGGAATGAAAATGAATTTGGAGTTTTGAACAAAATTGTAAGACAGAACTCAGAGATTCAAACTTCTGAGGGAAACCATTTTCAATGTACAGTTGTAAATCCTACCAAAGAACCTGTGTGACCATTTTAAAAGTAAGTCCTTTTCGGATACTCTAGAATCCACAGAGCCCAATTCTCCTTTATCTTTCCTATATGCAACTTCTGTTAAGAGGGAATAAGCACTAAGGATGTAGGTCAGTGGTTGAGCATCTGCCTGGCATGCAGGAGGCCATGAATTGGATGCCTATCAACACACACACACACACACAAACACACACACACACACACACACACACACACACACACACACACAATTTTCTCTCTCTCTCTCCTCTCTTCTCTCTCTCTCTCTCTTTCCCCTCCCCAAACAATAGGAAAACAAAAAGACATGGAATCCAGAAAATAAAGAACATAATGAAAAAGTCTGCAGAATTTTTAAAAGCAAATTTTAGAATAATAACAAGCAGTTGCAAGAGCAAACAAAGAATTATAGGAGAGCTATCTCCAAACACAGGAAACTAATAGAACATATGAGAAAAAGATATTCTATCAGACTTTGAATGCAACTCATTGATTTATGGCTTACCAGGGGCCACTTTCCCTTTTTTTTAAGAAAAGGTAATATTAATTACATGGAAAACAAAGTTGAACAATGATGTTGCCATGATTCCTAGCTCAATTATGAATACAATCCATTATAAGGAAGTTAGTCACACAAGATACTTACAAAATTACTGCTAAAAACTGCGTCTAAAATATAAAGATATTCCTTAGATTAATAAAAAATTAAATGATCCCAGATAAAAAATGCAATTAAATAGACAGGAAGACATCTGTTGCATGGTAAGGTGCCATGTTCTTTTCCCAGGTTCCTAGAGCTTGTTCCTCATTCAGAGCTTCCATAATTCTTAGAATCTACTAAGTGATGGAAATGTCCTTGTTGTTAGACCATACCTGACTTTATGCTGAGATGATTCAGAGTGGAATCTGAGATAGCTTAAGAATTAGGATAGTAGTTACCAATGACTCTCAGCCTAATCTCTGAGGACTACAGTAGATACTGACTTGGATGTGGCCAATTATTAAGAAATTATGCCCATATAATCAATCTCCAATAAAAATTTTAGATCCTGAAGCTCAGGGGACATAATGATACACTAAAAGAGTGACACGCTCTGATTCCACAGGAAAGTGCATAAAAGCTGTGTTTGGAGCTGTGTTTGGCTGCTCCTGATCAGTATCCTCATTCATTAACAATAATTTTAAATACAGTTCTGTCTTGAGCTGTGTAACTCATTCTCATAAATTACCAAGTGATAGGCAGCCACTTGGTCAGAGGTACTGGCAGATTTTAGGGGGACCATGTGGGCACTTAAACCCATGTGGTCTTACACTAACTCTGGATAGTTAGTGCCAGAATTGAATTACAATTAGTATTGCAGCACAGTAACATTTCATGTTCATGGATTGAAAAACTTAATATGTACTGTTAATATAGCAATGCTCACCAAGTGCTCATTGATTTATGGATTCAATGCAATCTATCAAATTTTCATTACTTGATGGAGAATTGATAAAGCCCAGTCCTCAAATTCATGAAACTGCAAACTTTTACTTTATTCCATAAAAAGTTAGTTAAAAATAGATTACAACCTAAACAGAAGAACTAAATTATAAACTCTTTCAAGAAAATACATGACCTGGCATTTGGCAACAGATTCTTATATTTGATACTAAATGTATAAGTAATGGAAAAAAATACATGAATTTGGATTCATTAAAGTTAAATGTTTTATACTTTAGACATTTTTTGTACATAGCACAACCTTTTAAAACTATAGGGCTGGTGGTTGTACATTTTGAACACACTAAATGCCACTAAATTATACTTTATCTATTTTATTTATTCATCTATCTATCTGAAGTACTGGATATTGAACCCAGGGTTCATTCTGAGCTACGTCTCCACCATCCTGCTCTAATTTTGATGAAATCTTGTTAAGTTGCTGATTTTCTCAGCCTAACACTGAACTTGCCATCTTCCTGTTTCAGTTTTCTGTAGTACTAAGATTACAGTTGTATGTTACCACGTTTTCTGTGCAGCATACTTTTAAATGGTTCATTGTATATTATATGAAACTCACTAAATAAATTTTTTGAAAAGAGTAAGGAGCCAAAGATAACTTGGATGGAAAGATGCTCAGTTTTGCTGGTAATTGTAACATTGAAAGCCACAATCATCATGACAAATCACTTAGTATATTAGATAAGTGTAAAAATGATGATTCCAATTGTTTGTAGAAGTACAAGCAATAAGAAAACATACTATTTGATGTATAAATTTACATATTCATTTAAAAGGGCTTGACATACTTCAGGTTAACATCAATATTCCTTAGAGACCCACCAATTCCACTGCTAGGAAACCAATGTAGCAGTTTAGTCCTCAGGAACATCCACCTCAATACTTTTTATTAAAAGTAAAAGCTAGAAATTCAATTTCTGCAAAATTTGTACGGATAAAATACTCTGTCATATAGTTATAATGGTTATTAAATGAAAAGCCTACAGCAACGAAAAATTTAAAACATCTATCCATCAAAAGAATATTGCACAAAAGTCAATAAAATAATATATACTTTATGACTAAATTTATATAAAGTTCAAAGCAGGCAAAACTAAAATATGCTTTAGGGAATCAAACAATGTTAATGAAAAATTTGTAATAGAAAAATGATTTTTATAAGTCTGCTTTATGGTTACACCTCAAAGGTAAGTGAAAGATATTAACTGATTTGAGCATGCAGAAGGCTCTGAGGTACTAGCAATATTGCATTATTTTAAACTTCACGATGGCAGCAGCACCAGCACCTAGCAGCTTTTTCTGGAAGTTTTACAGCAAATACTTCTGATAAGACACTTTGAGCTAAACTTGAGGGTAGATTTCTGTGAAATTCTAGAAGGCAGATTTCCTGAAAATTCCTCTCATATAGCATGGAAGTCATGGACGTATAGAGCTGACATCTGACAGTCAGTTTTGCACCTCAAGCATCTGACTCACCTCACACTACTTTTAAACTACCACTGGAGTGTTAGTTACTCTGCTACTCAGTGAACCAGTTACACCTTTTCCAAAAATATCTGGATCTTAGTCCTAGGACAGCCTTTTTCCTGGCTGCTGTAGCCCAGCTCTTAGGAGTAGTGGGTGTTCTTATGTCTGTTGTTCCTATGGAATTTAGAGTTTTTGTTCTAGCCAATCTACAAAAGCTCTACACTTGCATGACTCTCAGACTAAATGCTTCAAATTTTGTGTCTGAGGTTACTCATTTTTAACAAGACGCTCCTTCTCAGGGCCCTAAGTGCAGTTTTGGCATTGGAAAGTGAGCACCTACTTAAATTTTGAGCTCTGGTTGCTTCACTTGCCACATCAAGTCCCATTCGTGTTGCATTGCTATACCAGCAGAATTTGCTGTGGTTACTATAGTGTATTATAGTTCACAACTTTTTATGTTAAACTTTTCTAGTTTACTGTGTTCTCTGTCTCTTGATTAAATACTGATTACAAAGGAACTGGTACCTGTAGCAGTTTCAGGAAACATGCCTGCAAAATGGAATTTTAGGATGAGTGTTGGATATACCTTTTACATATCCCTTGAATCTTTGTTGCACTGAGGTGTTCTATTCTTCTTAATTCTTTGGGCTTGACAACATTGTAGAGTGACGTCCAAAGGAATTTAAGATACTAGAAATTCATGATATGCAGAAAAATTACAATGAACCCACCTGTGGTTGACTTTGTAGATGCGGTAGCACATTTCAGTAATCCCAGCAGTCTGGGCAGCAGAAACAGCAAGACTGCAAGTGGAAGCCCAGCCTGGACAAACTTAGAGAGACTGACTCAAAGTGGCAGCAGGGGGTACGGGGTGGCAATTTGGGGACAGTGCTCAGTGCAAAGACTCTGGGTTTAGTCCTCAGTACAGGGGGAAGGGGACATGTTCTTTGGTTGCCACATAGTTGCTATACTTGACAGTTAAAGGAACAATAATGATTATAATGTGAGATGAATTCATTTGTGTTCAGAACAAAGAAAAATTGACAAGCTCAGTTCTTTTAACTTGAGAATCAGAACATTTTCATGAAAATCCTAAAGGATATTCTCTTGTCATGTAGTCACAGGGCTGGAATGCTGAAAACTGAATGAATAATTGTTAACATTGCTGAATTATATATAACAGTTGAATTTGTAAGTCTTGACGCATTTTTCATGTGACAGATGAAGAACGGAATCCTAACATGTAGAATTAGGACATTTGGTTGAAACCTAGATGACACTATTAAACCCCTAAGTCACTTGGTCCTCTAGTACCAGTGGACATTATTTGTAATCCAGTATCTGATGTACTAGTTTTTCTCTAATTAAAACCTACATAATATTACCTAGAATAGTACTTATGAGGATATGCTCATTGTCTTCACATCCCACCAGAATCTTTCTGTAGTCCCTACACCAATGACAAGGATCCAATTTGAGTGTAATGCAGGGGAAAGGGATATACTATTACCTAGGAGAAAATAGGTTACTTAGTTTGATATACTAGGGTTTCCTTTTAAAAAATCCCAGATACTCAGTGATCTAAATAACTCACAGTTCTGGAGGCACCAGATCAAAGTGATCAAAGTGTCAGCAGGTTTCATTTATCCTCAGGTCTCTCTCCTTTACCTGTAGATAGGCACTGTCTTGTGGTGTGCTCACATGGTCTTTCCTCTTTTTGGGAGCATTGCTGGTATATTTCTGTGTATCCAAATTTCTTTTCTTATAAGATACCAGTCAGGCTGAGGTTT